CCGATTTGATTTGAAACTGTCTCATTGCTATCTGTTTATCAATAAAACTTGGAAAAAAAAGAATTCAAAGCATCATACCACCACAATAAAAAAAAAGAATGTATGGAATGTGTTAATTATTGAAACTGTCCTACCAATTTGGTTTGAAACTGTCTCATTGCTATTTGTTTCTCAATTAAATTATGGAAAAAAAAAAGAACTAAAATGTATCTCATTTTGCTGGCATGATTTGATACCCACAGAAACTGTATGGTAAAAATATTAGAATAATAAGAGAATTAGACAAGGAAATATGAACATTAAGCCTGAGTGTGACAACTTGATTTGTAGACGGGTACATGTCAGGGCACTGGTAGAGCCCACTTCTGGGATGGTCTGGGTGGGCCATCAGGGCGTGGTCTGAGGTCTGCCTCTGGGCCCTGGCCCCTTCCTCTCTGGAACTGTTCCCCTGCTCTTTCTCCCAGCTGACACAAACTATGCAGCTTTTCCTGGCCACACCCCTCCACCATGAGGTTTTTGCGGGCAGAGCAGCCAACCTTGGACCAAATACCTGACACTAAGTGTTGAATTGACATATACCTCTCAAAGTTCTGGGTGTCGGGCATTGTGTCTCAGCCATGGGATAGCTGACTAATACTGGGGGCTAGATTTAGAATAAGTATATATGAACAAATAAAGTATATATGACCAATAGCTTTTCACCATTTTGATATTAAGTACTTAGAAATGAAATAAGGGAAAACTATTTTACAATAACAGCAACACGCACAAAATGCATAGGGATAATTGGGATGATAAAATTACTTAGATTTATTGCACTATCAAAAATAATGTATAAATTTAATGAAATTGCAGTTAGAATCACAATAGGACTTGACTCTTTTTAACTGGAAAACCATCTTAACATTTTATAGGGAAGAATAAGTGCCTTAGAAAGGCTAAGAAAGGTAAAAAAAAACCTCAGCAAAGATTTCTTTCACTGATCAGATATCAGAAGGTGTGGTAGGCACACTGTAATAACCTCAATATGGTATTGGTATAGCCAGATAATTTGAGGTCAATGAAATAGCATTGTGAATAAAGAAATACACACTAATATGTGAGAATCTATACAATGAATGTGTTGATCGAAATTAGTGGCAAAGATATATTGTTTGATAGATGGTCAAATGATCTAGATGGAAATAAAGCTAAGCAGAGCCATCTCTGATACCACATGCAAAAACTAGCATGTGGATTTAAGGCATAAATATAAGAAGCAAAGTATGAAAAATTTTGCAAGAAAATGTGGGAGAATACATTTACAACCTTGAGGTATGTTAGATACTTTAACCAACATTGCCAACTCTGAAGATGTCAAAAAAATGACATAATTGGCTATAGAAATTAGAAACTTTTTAAGAGTTACAAGGAACAGCAATAGAAAAACATTAGATGTTTGGGAAAATTGTAACATACATAAGGAAAAGTTAATATTTATAATAATAAAAGGATTTCATAATTAATTAAAATGTAATGCCCCCCAAATAAAAAGATATTTAAATGGTTCCCCCAAATAAATCCACTAGCCAGTCAGCATTTCTTTTTTCGTATTTAGTACAGGGGCTACAGGGTCTCACTACATAGATCAGACCGTAGTGATCCACCTGTGTTCAGCCTCCCAAGTGCTGGGATCACAGGTGCGCGCCACCACGCCCAGTCTCAATTGCCATCTCAGCAGGCGCCAGGGGTGAGCTGGGACAACATGGGGGGTATTGAACCCCAGCAGCTGTGTCTGCCTAAGCAGGTGCTTTAATCCACTGAGCTATTTGGCCAGCCCAAGTCAGCATTTTAAAAAATGCTCAGTCTCATTAGAATTAAAAAGAATGCAATTAAAGTAATGATGCGATATCATTGTACACTTATAAAGGTGGCAAAAGTTTTAAAAAAACAAGATCAAACTTATTGCTGATAGAAATGCAGAGAGAAGGGCACTCCCACACATTGCTGATAGAAATATGTAAAGCGGGCTGGGGAGATAGCTTGATGGCAGAAGCACCTACTTGCCTGGCAAGCACCAGAACCCTAGCTGGATCCCTTCTACTGCACACCTTGCCAGCCCAAACGGTGTGGTGGTGCATGCTGGTAGTCTCAGAGCTGGGGAGGCTGAGACAGGGGATCACTACAAGTCTGAACTGTGTAACGAGAACCTGTACTGAAAGAATAAAAAAAAATATGTAAAGAGTTCTGACCCTCTTGGAAATTAAAGGAAAGAAAGAAATACTCCCTTTTGTCCAGTGAGATTATATGAAAATCTATTCTACAGAAATAAAACAATCAGTGTATAATAATACAGGAACTGAGGGCCAGCCAAATAGCTCAGTGGATTAAAGTGCCTGCAAGCAGGCACAGGGGCCAGGGTTCGATCCCTGGGCCTGCTGTGCCAGCTCCACCCCTGGGGCGCACTGAGACAGCAATTAAGACTGGGCGTGGTGGCACGTGCCTGTAGTCCCAGTGTTTGGGAGGATGTAAGTAGGTGGATCACTATGAGTCCAATCTAGTAGAGAGACCCTGATCACCCTGTAGACCCTTCCCTAAAAAAAAATACAGGAACTGGAGGCAAACAAGAGAATAAGATGAATGTATTGACTAAATTATGGTGCAGTCCTACCATGGAATCTTACATACACATGAAAAAGAAGGAATGAAAGGTATGCATTTTGACTTAGAGACAATTTTATTAGGTGTTAATGAGTGGAAAAAACGTGTGTGTGTGTGTGTGTGTGTGTGTGTGTGTGTGTGTGTGTAAATACATATTGTACTGTAGCAACCTGGGTAGAAAGAGCAAGAGGGGAGCTGATGTAGAAGTTTGTGGAGAGCCAAAAAGAAAGAACCAAAAAGGGTGTGACATATATACAATGCATTCACATTGTCATCATAAATGCATTTATACACTGATATTGTGTTTAAATCTTTTAAATACAAATTTAAAGAAAACAAATTTTAAAATAAGTAATTTCAACATTTAACTCAATAAGTCAAAATACTAAAAAAGAACTAAATGAAATTTTAAAAAATGAAAGCACAGAAACTGATGCAACAACAACAAAAACCAAAAATTGATAAATCACACCAAAAGATAGTTCTGGACAAAACTGATAAAACCAAAAAACCTACTGATGTATTACTTTTAAAAGAGAGGTACGAGGAGAAAAAGAGAAGGAAAAGAAAAAAGAGTGGGAGATGAAAAGAGAGAGGGAGGGAGACAGAGAAAGAGAAATGACACAGGGGGAAGGAAAAGAAGAGGGAGAGACGAACACACCACACAAGGCATGAAACAGGAGAGGCAACTACAGACACGGATCAGTTTAATTAAAATCACAATGATTGGAATGAAGTTCAATAACAGCACACCAACAAGTCTAGTATAGTGCTTTCTAGGAATATATATCCAAAACTGACTGAAGAAGATAAAGATATGAGTACAACAATGATCATAGGTTATTTTAATAATGTAATCTTCTCATATGTACTATAATTCCCAGAAAATGAAAAGCTTCTGAATTCATGATTAATATTATATTAAAAACACACCAGAGAACTGGAAACTCAACCTGTTAATATTGAGTGAATCTCTATTGAAGCTTAGCCATGGGAAGTTGATTTTCTGTCTAATGCTCCTTACCCTTCATCCTCCTTCTAACCCATTCCCTAGATTTCATAGTAGCAGCATGTGACAAAAAGAACCAATGGCCCAAGCAGCACAATCTATCAATTAACAGGTGAGGTCTCTGGAAAGAAGTGGCAAGTAGCACCTGCGCTAATGGCACAAATGGATGCATGTTATGTGGTAAGGGGTTTTGGTTCAACTTGGCATCATAGCCATACTAGCCCACCCCACCAGAGTTGTATCTCCATAATGGTGACCCCTTATGAGACTGCACGGAATATGACTTACCTTGTCTCCACATGCAGCTGACTGAGTAGGTCACTTTGCAGATAGTCCCAGCACAGTTCCACAGCACCCAGATAGTATCTTCTAGTGGCACTAAAGCTGAATGGCAGAAGGCACAGAAAGCAGCAGATGGAGAGCGCTATCTTCATGGCTCTTCTTGCTAGAAAATGTTTAATTGGAGAACTTAAAGATTAACTCTTCTCTAAAATATCTTTAGCTACCAGGAGAAGAAAAATTTTGAGGATTCAGTCAGAAGTTCCAAAGGGTATGCACAAACGAGAGGGTTCTTTAACCAGTGGATACGACAGCAGCACTAACACTCCACAGGACTGAAAGGATTGCTTCCTTTTTGGCAGGGGAAACCACAGGAAGAACCAAATTAGGAAAAGGGTGGCTGAGCTGAAGCTTAACCCATTCACTTCTGACAGCAAGAGAGGCAGGAAAACCTTTCAGCATAGGGAGGACTGAGCGGTGGAGCTTTACATTCTATTCCTATTCCTAGGCTACTCTCTCTTCCTTAGCAGCAGTAGTAAGTGTTCTGGATGTTAAAGACTCTGGAATCCACTTTCATGAGCAATGGTAACCAATAACTTATTAATCACCCTGTTTCTACCATTGTGCCCCACAGTGCTGCCACCGAGCAACTGTATGAAACTATAAAACAGCCAGCTGTTCAGCACAGAGGCGGAGGTCCATAAGTTAGAACTGACGGTGTAGAAGGCTGGCTTTAGTCTGGATGCCCCTCAGTACAGGCTGGAATGTGAAATCAAGACTAATCATCCGGATTCAGCAAGAGAGAAAATCCACTTATGCTGTAAAGAAATTGTTGGCGATGAAGTTTCAATACCAAGCTTTGCATGTGCATGTGCATTTTTAAATCCATTGCTATTGAGCAGGAAGAGACTAAGAGTCGTGTTTATGCTACTGTGAATAAGACTATGACATAAGAACTACAAAAGCAAACAGATTGGAGCTGTCACCACTGACTGAAAGAAAAAACTGGAACAGAGCAGTTAGAATTTCACATGCCACACTTAAGAAGAAAAGGAATTGCAAATAGGAACTCTAATAAAGAAGAGACTAATTCCAGAAAAACACAGAAAGTTGTCTTGTTGATAGTTCATGAGTAGAGGTAGGGATAGTCCAGGAGGAGGAGAAGGAAGTTTGGTTTGAGTGACAGAGGAGTGATGCCTTTCATAAGAAAAGGATTACGAAGGGCGGATATTATGTTGATACAATTCAGCCAAACAATGGAGTGAAAATAAAAGGATTTAAATATACATATACATATACTTAGTCTTGTAATTTTTTTTTAATATTTATTTATTTATTTATTTATTTTGTGTGTGTGTGACCAGCTCAGCCCACCAGGGGGCGGGGCTGGCTGGCATGTGGTGCTGGGGGATTGAACAGCGGTCCCTGTGCTTTGCTTAGCTTAGCTTAGTCTTGTAATTTTAAGTAAGGAAGTCCCTTAATACTAATTTGTATCTGTTTTCTTTTTGTATTGTTGGGATAACAGATATCCTGGCCTATCATAAAAGAATGTTTGTACAAGAAAGAAAGAAAGCAACAAGCGAGCCAGCCAGCCAGCCAGCCTATAAAAAAGATCCTGTTGTTCTTAGGGGAAGAACCCTACAGTAGCTTCTGACCTCGCTCAAGAAACCTTTACGTCTTTACCATGATCTACAGCATCCCACATGGCCTGCATGCTCCTTTCATGGCCCACTGTGGGCTCAAGTTCAGTGCTGCTATATTGGACTCCTCATTCTTCCTTAAAATGCCAAGCACTGTCTTGGGCCTAGGCCTCCACACTGTTTCCTCCACCTGTAACTCCAGGATGCTCCATTTCCACGCCTTCCCCAAACTTCACCCTTGCTAGCACTAGAGATCATCTCAGCTTCGTTTGTTTTGTGCTGTGTTACTTAGGGCATTTTAAGGTTGCTTACATGTAGCCCCAGGACAGAAGTGGTGAGCTGTTGTCCAGCTTGAAAACAAATAAAAAGACTCTTCGGTAAACATTTGCTGAGATCTCCTGTGTGCCAGGCACTGGCATCATGGACAGCTAAGTTAGGTAGAAAGCTACGTAGAAATATTCTAGGCAGTCAACAGGACTAGGACCTCAAGGGAGTCCATGGAGAGGAAGACAGCACATCACAACTGTGGCTGAAGGCGTACCTGTCCAAGGCCAGGCCTACATACCTCCCTGAGGGATAAGCGATAAACTGAAGATTGTACAATGATTGACATCACCTGGTCAAATAAAGTCTAGATAGATATCAGTCACCCTGGTGGGTAACAAGGACCTCCTGGCCCATCCCTTCCTAAAGAAAGTCCTTGTTGTTTCCATGTACACTTGTCATATGACCTGCTTCTCCACTGCATTAATATTACCTAAGCAGCTATATGTGCAATCTTATTGGTTGGCCATTGTTCTGACCCACTTTGTACTCACCTTGTGATTTTGCTCTATAAAACTTCCTTTGTGGGCTGGCAAGATGGCTCAGCGGCACAAGCACCTGCCTGGCAAATGCAAGTCCTGAGTTTGATTCCCAGTAGAAAAAAAACAACTCAAACCCAAGCAACCTTTGTTTGAGAAGTGGGCTCGTTGGCAACCTACTTTTGAGTCCTTTTCTGTTACTCAGGAAATATTGCTTTTTAAAAATTGTTCCTATTCTTAATCTCCATTGCTCCTTAGAATTCATTCTTTGATTTTGGGGAACATCAGCTCAACTTATCTGACATCTAGCAGGTTGGGAGTTACATTTATTTCTCCTATATCACCAGAATGTACAGAAACAGTACTTATTATATGTAAGAACTGTTCAAAGTGCTTCATAATGAGACAGTGTTATAGGGCAGTTCCTTTAGAAACGGCTCACCAATCAAAAGTATACCAGATCCTTCTTGTCTTGAACAAAGAATTCAATGATATAAACCAAACAGGGTACTGTAAAGGGTTAATAGAGTTTTGTGCCTTAATTGTGAAAAATTATAAAAACCCCTTGTGCTTCCTGTTATCTGCTCTAAGAAATGTGTTCTCCTTTTCGGCTCAAGGCTGTTCAACAATAAATAACTGTTTCTTGTCAAGGCAGCAAGCTAACACAAACTAAACTCCCTCCCCAACCATCTTCTGCAACATAGTCAGCTTAAGATGTACCTCGTAAAAATATGCACTTATGTCTAAGCTGTGAAAGATCTTTTAGTTATAAAGTTTGCAGCTGTGTCAAATGAATGCAGTTTCTGTTGTTCTGTACTAGATAACAAGTTTGCTTACCAAACTGGATGTAATTTCTGTTATAAATACCCCCTTGCTACCTACATTGAGGGCCGATCAGCCTTCTCCTGTGAGAGAAGTGGCTGACGGCCCTGAGCTCAGTAAATAAAAGGCTCTATTCAAATCTCTATCTGGCTGATCTGGTTCCTATGGAGAGTTGACCCATAACAGGTACCAAAAGTTTATTTTGAAAAGTGTGGGGTGAACAGAAGAAACCAGCTCTGCAGAGCGAACTTGGGCCAAAGAGAAAAAGAGGGTAAAAGCAAAAATAAGAGTACACATGGCATCAGAAAAGCAGTCTGTCATTGGAACTCACAAACCATAGTGCTTTCCGGTGCTAGCTGGTCTTTCATGCCTCCACATCTGGTGGAAACTCCAGAGAAGGCCTGTATACAAGGTGCCCTAGCTCCCATATCTGCAGCACAGAAGAAATAATGTTAGATAGAAAGGACATCACGACATTATAATTTTTTAAAATGTATTTGGTTGTTGTAGGGTCCCACTACATAGCTCAGACTCATGATAATCCTCCTGCTTTCAGCCTCCCCAGAGCTGGGATTACAGGCATGCACCACTATGCCCAGACTCTGGTTGGCTCAGCCCACCCTGGGGGCGGGGCTGGTGCGACATAGGAAGCCAGGGTCTAACCGCCATCCCTGTGCTTGACCAAGAGGGTGCTTTAGTGTGCTTGAGCTATCTCTCTGACCCAGGAAATCATATTTTTAAAAAAGCATACTTTAATGAAAAACTGCAAGTTCAGAACACAAGCTTGGTTTATTTACTTGTTTTCCTTCTCCCAAAACAGGAAATTGGTGCAACTCCCTTTCAGCTGCACATGGGTCTACCCATTTCCTTTTACTTGCAAACACTCCTCTTTCACCCAAGGAAGGACCACCCTTTTGGATTTTCCATAGGAATAGACTATTGTCTTACCAGGGGTGGGCCTTCCTGTCCCACCCACTAACACTGAGACTATTGATTAAAGAGGTGCACAGGTTTCCACCTGAAAACACAAAGTGATCCCCAGCTCCCAAAAGTGTGGGGCCTCATTTCTCTGAGCGCCTGCACTATGCCCATGAGTGTATCCTCGGTCTACCTCTACTAAATCCTTCTTCTGACTCTTTTACTGAGGATTCCTGAAAATTCTTTTTCTGTAACAGGCAGAAACCTTATTTTAAAGGGGCGGCTTAAGTTCCTTATTTGAGCCTCAGGGACCCTCAGTCCCAGCCTGTAGCAATAAATAATGCAGCTCCTCCTGTATTCACTTTATGGGCAATGAAGCAAGAAGCCACTAGACAACATAGCTTTAAGTGGTAGAATTCAAGCATGATACTCATGTCTGCATCTTGTACTATGAATAACTACTATGAAGACAACAATATGCAATGTATTAATTATAGATACTGTGAAAGGGAAAGAAACTGCTCAAATGCAAAGAACTGGGATGAGGGAAAGGAGAAAAGAAAGAAGTGGAAAATATGTATGTATATACACAGAATAGCCTGGATAATTGTATTGATGATTTTTACTGGTCTATTGAAAGGTATAGTTAATGCTTAAATTTTTTCTTCTTTTTAATTTTTTGACCAATTTTTCATGCTTATATCTGGTAATCTGAACAAATACTTTGAAGACAATAGGCAATATAACAACCATTGTTGAATTCCAACCATCTTGTTTAGTGAAATTCTGTATTGTTTCTAATTATTTTTATTCCCTTAAAAATATAACGAATCTCAGAAAAGACTAACTGCAATGGGGGAAAAAGAAATGAAAAACAAAATTATGTGTATACACAGATGGTTAAGAACGTTTTACAGCTAACTTCTCTTCGTTCCTTGAAAAGAATGTTTTGTGATAATATTGTTTGGATAAGATGTTCTGTGATTAAAGTGCCTACTTAGGCAGACACAGGGGCTGGGAGTTTGATCCTGTAATCCCAGCACTTGGGAAGCTGTAAACAGGTGGATCACTATGAGTTTGATCTAGTAGTGAGACCCAGAACACCCTGTAGACCCTGTCCTAAATACAAAAAAAAAAAAAAAATAGAAGTCCTGCCCATATACTCTGATTAACTAATACGAAGACAATATGCAATAGATCAACTATTGCAACTGTCCTACTAACCTGATTGTTTGCTTACTTTTTTTCCTCTTACTTTTTTTTTTATTATTTAGTTCCCAGGATAGCGTTCTTGAGACACTGGAGGGAGTCAAAGTGGTCTAAGTGAGTGAGAAGTAGAACAATAAAATGAGAAAACGAACCAAAAGAAATGAAGGAGACCCAGTTTTTCTGTGTGAGAGTCGAGGAGTACAGAAAAGTAGACCTTTACAGTAAGGGTGATAAATATTTCACCATGTGCTTAACATAGGTTATCTGGCAGTACTGCAGAACAGACATAGATAACGCAACTACGTACAGAAGTGAGATGGCTAGCCTAAGGACACACCTGTTTGTTCTCAACAAAGCAGTGAAAATTGATAGGTTCTGGCCCTGGTATGAATTGCTGAATGATTGTGGCGGTCATCTAACATGGCTGAAGCCCTAGTCCAACAGCTTACCTTCCCAGTGACCCCCCTGCCCCGTCTTCCCCAGCGCTGTCCTGGATACCATTTCCTGTCACCTTCCCCATTGCGCGCTGATTGTCCAGTCAGCTCCCGAGGGTCCTAAACTTTCCACTCAGAGTGTGTCCCCCATGGTCTCAGGTCAGAGGATCCTCCCGCCTCACTGGGTTCTCTGTGTTTGTAGTGAATAAAGGCTTCTTTTATCTTTTCCTATTGCTTCGCTGCATTGCTGAGAAAGCTAACAAAAACAAACTGAAAGGATAATAAGAATTATAAAACTTAAGTATATTTTTATTTCAATATTTTAAAATTGTGTTTTCTGCAATTTTAAAGCTTTGGATTATGTGCTACTACTGTTTTAACCCAGTTGTCACGGACATTTTGTTCTTTTTCTTTTGTAATGTATTTAGTGCCGGGTCTATAGGGTCTCACTAAGTTCGCACTCAGTGACCCTCCTCTTTTCAGCCTACCAAGCGCTGGTATTATGGATGCGCAACACCACGCCCAGTCTCAGTCGTCCTGTCAGCGTGCCCGGGGGCCAGGGCCAGGACGGCATGACAGGGATGGGATGTTCTTTTTTTATTTTTTACTTTTTTTGCGGAACCAGGAATTGAACTCAGGACCCTGCGCCTGCCAGGCAGGCCCTTATTCTACTGAGCTATCTCCCGGGCTCTGAATGATCTTTTTTTTGTTTTGAGACAGGGTATGTGATAAATTGCAGAACTGCCCGGAGCGTTGTGGACTACAAAAAGTCCCCCGCCTCTACCTCCCGGAGCGCTGGGTTCACAGACCTGCGCCACTATTTTACTATTTAAATTCCCGTCAACTAGTCTTAACCCGGAAGGGCCCGGTTGCGCAGGCGCTGCCACGGGACCCCTTCTGCGCATGTGCCTCTCCTGGGTCAGCCGAGCGGGATAGTGACCGCAGGCTGACGTTTGTGACGCAGCTGCCAAGGGGCGGAAAGCTCCCGCCCAGCGCCCCGCCACTCCTCTTCCGCCGCCGGCCTGGGAATGGAAACATCTGCCCCACGTGCCGGAAGCCAGCTGGCGATGAACTCTGCGCGCCACCCAGCGTCCAGCCGCAGCGAGCCTGCGCGAGGAACCTCGCGAGACGAGCTCGCCGAAATGGCGGCGTCCAGTCAAGGTAAGGGCGCGCGCGGAGGGCGCCTGGGGAAGCGCTTGCCTTGGGCCCCGGAAGCGGGGGCTTTGCGCTTGTCGGCCGCCGCGGAAGTTCCTATGGCGCCCCAGCGGAGCGGGGAGCGGCGCTCGCGTTCAGGCCCCGGGCGCGCACTGGCCTGGGCCCGACCGGGCCTTGCGCTTTGCGACTCGCCCAGCCTCTGGCCCCGCCCCGCCCCGCCCCGCCCCGCGCCGCGCCGCGAGCTGACGTCTCGTTCCAGTTTTCGGGGAAGCTCTGTTTCTGTTTCTTTTCTTTCTTTCTTTTTTTTTTTTTTTCCTTTCCGGAACCGGGGATCGAACTCAGGCCCTTGCGCTTGAGAAGCGCTTATTCTACTGAGCCATCTCCCCGGCAGCTGTTTCTTTGACGCTGCTTCTTTGTCCCTGTAGACGTTCCTAGCCCGCCCTTCGTAGGCGTCTTACTCACTGGGTCCTCCCAACAGAATTATTGATGGTTTTTAAAAAAGTAGCTTTCATGACACAGAACTTTAAAATGCTCTTTAACCCAAAGGACTCGACCAAAGAAAGCGCCCCAGTAATTCGGAAAAGAGGGCGTCCTTAAGTTATACTTCTGTGTTTTTCTTAGGGTGTACGTCATTCAGTACTGGTTCAGAAAATCTGATAGCTAAACATCGAAAATTCAGCTCTATACTTAGCCTTAAATTGTTGAAGTTCATCCCGTTCTACTTACTGTGTTTTACTGTTATCTACGTTCTTAAAGTTATTTACACCCATTTTATCTGTGGAAGAAGTACCGTAGAATTAGATACTACTATGTATCCCTTTGACTCAGGTTTTAGTGATGTCACAGTTCAGTGATGTGGTCCTCAGGATTTATGAATACATCCCCAAATTTGGTGTGCACAGTAAATCAGCCCCCACCCAAAGCCACTTGTTAAACATTTATAAGCACACCACTAAATTTAGTTCACTCTACGAACTTGGAATGTGTAATATGATCATTTTCGTAGGGAACACATTGCTTTCATTTACCTAAAGTGTGTAGCTTCATCAAATAGCTGTGAGAACTTTGAGTCTGACAGATTTCAGCCCTTATAATAAACGAGCAAGGAGAGCCCTCACCCTTGATTTTAAGGAGTTCATAAGGATGGCTAATGACTTTCAGGTACCACGTGTCTTAATGGCATCTTAGGGATGACCGCAGAAAATAGGGTAAAGCAGATGGCACTCTGATTTATAATCTCCCTTTTGATTGCAGCCTGTTATTCAGCTAAGAGACTTGATAAACGTACATTAAAACAAACCCCAAACTCCTTTTTCTTTTCAGTGATCATTTTTTCCAATGTAACAGTAATGGTGTTACAGGAAAATGTATTGTTAGGCCATAGAATGCATGATTCCTTAATTATTGATTCTGTGGTTTTGCTACATTGAGATCTATAATCTCTTGAATTATTGTTTTGTGTGTGATGTAAAGATCTACTTGAGCATCATTTCGTTTCTTAGCTATAAATATAGACTATTTTCAACTATTGGAAACACATGCTTTTCCCCATTGAATTGCCTTGGTGCGTTATTAAAAGGCAGGTGACAGCTGTGTGAATCTATTTCTGGACTTCGTATTCTCTTCCACTGATATATTTGTGTACTCTTTGGTCATTTCAGTGGTATGTTGAATACCATAGCTTTATAATCCTGAAATTAGTTAGTTGTGTTTTGTACTGTAATTTTATAATAAATCTTGAAATTTCTTAAACTTTATTCTTTTTCCACCCAAGATTACTGTGGCAGTGTGTCTTCCAAAGTTATTGAATCATTGCCTCCTCTCCCACATGTCTTTTTTTGAACTGACTTTGGTACTCCTCCCACTAAGAGATGGAGTCTTTGCCCTGAATCTGGTTAGGAGTTTGTGACTCCTGAGCAGAATTCAGTGTAAGTAGCACTGCCTGGTTTCTTACCCTTAGTTTTCCCCTCACTGGAAACTGTCACTCCTTGAGCCCAGCCACCATATTGTAAGGAAGCCCAGTCTGGTCTCTGCCAATAGACAGTCTATATGTGACTGTAGAGTTTTCAGATGAGTGCATAGGTTTTTAGCTATACAATTTTCAGCCTGTGTAAGGTTTCCAGTGAAAGTCTCAACCATGATAAGTAGAAACAGTCATTAATGCTATGGCTAAATTCCTGAGCCACATAATTTGATAGCATGTTGTTACTGTTTTGAGGCGGGCTTGCTCTCGAGTTCAGGCTGGTCTTGAACTCTCTTTGGAGCCCAGGCTGGCCTTGAAGTTGGAGTCCTTTTGCCTCAGCCTGCCGAGTGCTTTGATTACAGGTGTGTGCCATCACTGATAGCATGATTTTATTGAATGAAGTTTGGGGGTGATTTGTTGTACAGCCACAGGAACTGGAACACAGTGCTAATTCCTTTGCACTTTCATACAAATTTTAGAACCAGCTTGTCAGTTAGGTAGAAACCTGATTTGGAATTAGTGTCATCTATAGATCAGTATAGATAGAATAAACATCTTAAAAACATTTTGAGTTTTGTATGATATAAACATGGTATCTCTGCCCATTAATTTAGGACATCTTTAGTTTCTGCATTTTGTAGTTTTGTTTGCATTATTTACTATTTAAAATATACTTGGAGAATCCATGGTACATCTACTTCTGTTTCTTTTTTAAAAAATAATTTTATTGAGAAACGAGGCAGTTTCAAAACCGATTACTAGCACAGTTTCAATAATTAATACATTGCATATTGTTGTCTTCTGTTTCTTTAAAAATCTCTTAATCTAGTTAGGAATGATAATGATTCACTATTGCCAAAAATAGATGCTTTCTTACTTAATATCTTAATTCTTGTAGGAAACTTTGAAGGAAAATTTGAGGCACTGGACCTTGCAGAATTTGCTAAAAAGCAGCCATGGTGGCGCAAGCTATTTGGGCAAGAATCTGGACCCTCTGCTGAAAAGTATAGTGTGGCAACCCAGCTGTTAATTGGAGGTGTCACAGGATGGTAAGTGTCTTGTGTGCAGGAATTAGTATTGAGGTTATTGGAATGTTCTTTTAATTACTGAAAATATCTTGACTTTGTTGAAATTGATTACTTAGCATGTAGCATTTATTTACACATACTAAGGTATACTTGATGGTTACACGTAGTGTTCACCGCATGCTGGGCACTGTTTAAAGTACTTAGATAGGTATCTCATTTCCTTCTCATAGCTCTGAAATTAATATGGTTATTACCTGTGCTCCTTTTATAGAAACTGAAGCCCAGAAAAGTTAAATGGCCCAAGGCCACATAGCTAATAAGTGCTGGAACAAGGAGGTAGCCACTCATTAGCTATGTCAGGTAGTAATACAACACAGCTTATGGTTTCATTTGTGACATAGTAAAAAAATGTTAATAGCAAATTTAGTAAGTGAACATCTAATTCATCAATTTCAGAGACTTTATATTTGAAAAAGCTTATTGCATAATGTAAATGAGTATAGAACAGTGCAAATTTTGACTACTATAAACTCCTGTGTAACAACACCATTGAGGTTAAAACATATATGGCTGGCATCCCAGAAAAGCTAAAAGTCGGTAAGCAGTTGTTTGATTTTCTTAATAGGTTTTATTTGTTTTTGTTTTTGTTTTTTGGTGGAACTGGGGATTGAATTCAGGCCCTTTAGCTTGCTAGGGAAGCGCTTATTCCACTGAGCCATCTCCCCGACCCTGATAGTTTTGATAGTAATTGTTACTAAATAGTCTACTGTAGTTGACTTGGTTTCAAACTCTAATCAGTTAATTTATTTTTAATGTATTTGGTACAGGGACTCACTACGCAGCTTGGACTCATAGTGTTCCTCCTGTTTTCAGCCTCCCCAGCGCTGGGATTATAGGCCTGTACCACAATGCCAGGTCTTAGTAGCTCGCTCAGTGTGCCGAGGGGGGGGTGGGGCTGGCATGGCCTGTGGTACCAGGAATCGAAACCTGGTCCCTGTGCTTGCCTAAACATGTGCTTAGTCTGCTGAGCTGTCTTGCTGGCCAGTTTCAAACTTTAAATAAATGCAATCACCCTGTATTTCAATTCTTTTTCTGTTCAACCTGACATTTTGTATGTTTGGCCATGTTGTGTGTAGTTGTAGTTTCTTTGTTTTTGTTAGTGTTTAGAATTCTGTTGTTATGACTATTCCACAGAACATTTATCCATTTGATGACTGACATTTGACTTTTTCAACTTTGACCTAATACGAATAACAATCATATGAACTCTATGCAAATATACCCATGTATTTGTGTTACCCATTTCTGTAGAATCTGCACCTAGGGATTATTAGGTTATGAGATATGGTCTCTTCAGCTTCAGTAGGTTACTTGTCAGACTGCTTTCCAAATGTGGTTGTAAAAGGTTGTGCTCCTGGAAATAGAGTCTGAATGTTCCTGTTGCTCTATATTGTTTTTTGTTGTTGTAACTCTATATTCTTGACAGACTTGACATTGGCTGTTAAGCCAGTGGGATAGATAATGGTATCTCTCTTTTTTTTGTATTTAGAACAAAGTGTACAATGTCTCACCACATAGAATGGACTCATAGTGATCATCTTGTTTACAGCCTCCCAAGTCCTGGGATTACAGGTGTGCACCACTATGCCCAGTCTCAGTTGCCATCTCAGCACACCCCGGGGGTAGGGCCAGCATGGGCAGGCTATTTGGCCAGCCCAGATAATGGTATCTCATCATGGTTTACCTTTATGTTTTCCTGAGTAGGGGTAAAATTAAACTTTTATATGTGTTTGTTCAATATGTCGTTATGTTAAGTTACATGCTACTTTTTTTACTATAAAGTTGTCATTCTTTTGTTGAATTGTTAGAGTTTTAAAAAATATATTCCAAGTGTCGGTCGTTTGTTGATGTGCTTTTAGATTCTTTTAAAACAAATTTTGTATTCTGTAGTTATCTTTTCATTTGCTTTGTGATACTTTTTATTTATTTATTTATTACAGGTCCCCACTATGCTGCTCAGACTTATAGTGATCCTCTTTCCTGTCTCAGCCTCCCCAGAGCTGGGATTACAGGTGTGTGCTACCACGCCATGCCCAGTCTCCATGGCCAGCAGGGGTGCCTTGGCGTCCTGGGCTGGCACAGCACACAGTACCAGAGATTGAACCAGGGTCCTTATGCTTGCCAAGCAGGTGCTTAGACCACTGAGCTATCTCTCCAGCCCTTATTATACTTTTTTTTGAGACAGGGTCTTACTGTGTAGTGCCTTGAACTTTCTTATGTAATCCATGCTAGCCTCAAACTCATGGTGATCCTCCTGCCTCAGCCTCCCAAGTGTTGAAATTATAGGTGTGTGCCATCACTGGTGTGTGCCCAGTTATGATACCTTTTGAAGGTATTAAGGATCTTACTGAAGATCTTATTTTTAATGTGGTCAGTTTGATAATTCTTTACCTTAATAGTGATTTTTATATTTTATTTAAAGAATATTTTTGGCCTATCCCATGTTCCAGAACTTTGTTTTGTATGATTCACGTGGAATTGTTTTTGCATTTCATGTATGGTAGAGTACTCGTTTCATTTTTTCCCATGTGGAATACTCAGTTGTCGCAACATAAGGTATTATGAAAGTTGTCATTCTCTGTACTTCTTTACTCAGTATATGTCTTTGTGTTTGGGTATTTGCATCTTCTTTGGAATTTTTTGGCTATTTCCTTTATTTTTTAACAGTTGAATGCGCAAGTTTACATATCACTAGTAGCAAACATTCAAAATACACAATTTAATGAATTTTGATATATGCACACACATCTAAGACCATCATCACAATGGAGATGGTGAACATATCTGGCTCTGCAAAAGTTTCTGAATACCTCTTTGCAATCCTATCCTCCCTTTCATGTGTCAGGAGCACTGATCTGCTTTCTGTCACTGTAGATTGTTTTGCATTTTCTAGGGATCATATGAATTGTGCATTCTTATAAAATCTACCTGGCTTCATCACTGAACATAATAATTTTGAGATTCATCATTTCTTTTTTGTGTGTCAATCCTTAATTCCTTTTTATTACTGAGTAGTGTTCTATTGGGTGGTTGAACCACAATTTGTTTACTTTGATGTACATTTGGATAGTTTTCACTTTTGGGTTATTATTAAGACTGCAGTGAACATTTGTGTACAAATCTTTCTTTGAACATGTGCTTTCATTTCTATTGGATAAATACATAGGCTTATACATATGGCTGAGACATATGGTAAGCAAATGTTTTAACCTTTCAAGTATTTGCCAATTTTTAAGTGTCCAAACCATCTTTTTGTGTCCTATCAACAGTTTATGGGGGCGCTGGGGAGATAGCTCAGTAGAATAAGTGCTTGCCTGGCAAGTGCAAGGTCCTGAGTTCAATCCCCGGTTCCACAAAAAAAAAAGAAAAAAGGAAAAAAAAAGTTTATGAGGGCTCCAGTTTCTGTGCATCCTCACCAAAACTTGATATATTTATTTTTATTATAACTGTCATTGTGGGTGGGAAGTGATGTATCTTGGTGCCATTATCATGCTATTTTGATTATTGTTATGCTTTGTATCTAGGTGTCCCCTCAAAGCCTCACGGGCTATATGTGGGGCTTTTTGGAGGTAACTGGATCTAGGGTGTGTGTGTATGGACTAAGGGTGTGTAGTAACTAAAGTAGTCCACTGATTGGTTTGTTGTAGTTCTGGGTATGGATAGTGGGAGGAAACCCCTACCCCAGTTAATCCAGTAGGCTTGCCGTCTCAATGGGATAAAAGTTCAGAAGTCTCGCTGCTTGTTGCTTCCTGCTTGCCATGCCATGGGCTGCTTTTCCTCCACATGCCCCTCTGCCATGCTACCCTGGAGCAGCTGACTATGAACTGTGAAACCTCTGTAAACTGAGAGCTAAAATAAAACTTCCTTTAACTTGTAGGTGCTGGGTATTTTGTCCCACCAGTAAGAAAGGTAACTAAGGCAATTACTTTATAATAATGAATGAAATTAGCTTGTAAGCCTTAAAACTTCATTTTTTGAAAGCTCTTTTAAGTACTTAGCATTTCCATATGAATTTTAAAATCACCTTGCTGCCACTTTCTACCCAAAGACTGTTATTTTACATAGGATTGCATTGAGCTGTAAACAATGGCATAGCTCTGTTTAGATTTCCCTTAATTTCTTCAGCAGCGCTTTATACGTTATGTACATCTTATTGATAGATCAATATTATATCAGTACATACTGAATACTTCTGAGTATTTCATATTTATAATGCTGCTATGAATGCCATTTTGAATTTTAATTCTTCCATTATTTATTGCTTGTATACAAAACTGAAGTTCGGCTAGGTGTGATCCTGCATGCCTGTAGTCCCAACACTTGCAAGGCTGAGGTAGGAGGATTGCTGTGAATTTAAGTCCAGCCCGGGCTACATAGTGAGATCCTGTCTCCAAAAAAATGCATTTGATTTGTGTATTGGTGTTATATAGTGTAATCTTGCTAAAGTCATTAATTGCATATTTGGGAGGATCTTCAAGGCTATCCTTATGTTTACTAATTCTCTGGGAGGATTCACAGAACTAAGCTGTTTTACTTGAGGTTACAATTTTACATTGAAAGGGTGCTTATTGCACAGGGAAGCAACACAACACAATCCCAGGGAACTCCATGCATGGAGCTTCCTGATGTCTTTTGTTTAAAATGGGTTTCTCTACGCAGCAGATAGATAGGTCTTATGTCTTTAAATTCCAGTTGACAGTCTTCATTTTAATTGGATGCTTACACTGTTTACATTTAAGCTTTAAAAAAAATTAACAGTTGTATATGTTCATGGTATGCAATGTTTCTACATATGCATACTTTCCTGAATGATAGAGTCAAAGCATGAACATATGCATTCCCTCACATACTTTTTTTTGTGTTTCTTTGCAAAAGGGTCTCGCTGTGTAGTACAAGCTAGCCTTGAACTCACCGTGTTGCCTAGGGTGGTCTTGTACACATATAAATCTTCTTGCCACAGC